ACTGCTACTACTACTACTGCTGCTACTGCTGCTGCTACTGATACTGCTACTGCTACTACTACTACTACTGCTACTGATACTGCTACTGCTGCTGCTACTGCTACTGCTGCTTCTGCTGCTACTGCTGCTACTGCTACTACTACTGCTGCTACTGCTACTGCTACTGCTACTGCTGCTACTGCTACTACTGCTGCTACTGCTACTGCTGCTACAGTACTACTGCTGCTACTGCTACTACTGCTACTGCTACTACTGCTACTGCTGCTACTGCTACTACTGCTACTGCTGCTGCTGCTACTACTACTGCTGCTACTGCTGCTACTGCTACTGCTACTACTGCTACTACTGCTGCTACTGCTACTGCTGCTACTGCTGCTACAGCTACTACTGCTACTGCTGCTACAGTACTACTGCTTCTACTGCTGCTGCTGCTGCTAGTGCTACTGCTACTACTACTACTACTGCTGCTAATGCTTCTGTTACTGCTACTGCTGCTTCTACTGCTACTACTGCTACTGCTACTACTGCTACTGCTACTACTACTGCTGCTACTACTACTGCTGCTACTGCACTGCTGCTCTACTGCTGCTTCTACTGCTGCTTCTACTGATACTGCTACTGCTTCTGCTACTGCTGCTCCTGCTACTGCTACTAGTTCTATTACTGCTACTACTGCTATACTACTGTGACTGCTACTGCTACTGCTACTGCTGTTACCGCAACTGCTGTTACTACTACTACTGCTACTACTACTGCTGAAACTACTGCTGATACTACTGCTGAAACTACTGCTGAAACTACTGCTGAAACTACTGCTGATACTACTGCTGAAACTACTGCTGATACTACTGCTGAAACTACTGCTGAAACTACTGCTGAAACTACTGCTGATACTACTGCTGAAACTACTGCTGAAACTACTGCTGATACTACTGCTGAAACTACTGCTGAAACTACTGCTGAAACTACTGCTGATACTACTGCTGATACTACTGCTGAAACTACTGCTGATACTACTGCTGAAACTACTGCTGAAACTACTGCTGATACTACTGCTGAAACTACTGCTGATACTACTGCTGAAACTACTGCTGATACTACTGCTGATACTACTGCTGAAACTACTGCTGAAACTACTGCTGATACTACTGCTGATACTACTGCTGATACTACTGCTGAAACTACTGCTGAAACTACTGCTGAAACTACTGCTGATACTACTGCTGAAACTACTGCTGAAGCTACTGCTGATACTACAGCTGAAACTACTGCTGATACTACTGCTGAAACTAGTGCTGAAGCTACTGCTGATACTACTGCTGAAACTACTGCTGATACTACTGCTGATACTACTGCTGATACTACTGCTGAAACTACTGCTGATATTACTGCTGATACTACTGCTGATACTACTGCTGATACTACTGCTGAAACTACTGCTGAAACTACTGCTGATACTACTGCTGATACTACTGCTGAAACTACTGCTTAATCTACTGCTGAAACTACTGCTGATACTACTGCTGAAACTACTGCTGAAACTACTGCTGAAACTACTGCTGATACTACTGCTGAAACTACTGCTGAAACTACTGCTGAAACTACTGCTGAAACTACTGCTGATACTACTGCTGATACTACTGCTGAAACTACTGCTGAAACTACTGCTGAAACTACTGCTGATACTACTACTACTGCTGCTGAAACTACTGCTGATACTACTGCTGAAACTACTGCTGATACTACTGCTGATACTACTGCTGAAACTACTGCTGAAACTACTGCTGATACTATTGCTGATACTACTGCTGAAACTACTGCTGAAACTACTGCTGATACTACTGCTGATACTACTGCTGATACTACTGCTGAAACTACTGCTGAAACTACTGCTGATACTACTGCTGATACTACTGCTGATACTACTGCTGATACTACTGCTGAAACTACTGCTGATACTACTGCTGATACTACTGCTGATACTACTGCTGATACTACTGCTGAAACTACTGCTGAAACTACTGCTGATACTACTGCTGAAACTACTGCTGATACTACTGCTGATACTACTGCTGAAACTACTGCTGAAACTACTGCTGAAACTACTGCTGAATCTACTGCTGAAACTACTGCTGAAACTACTGCTGAAACTACTGCTGAAACTACTGCTGATACTACTGCTGAAACTACTGCTGATACTACTGCTGAAACTACTGCTGAAACTACTGCTGATACTACTGCTGATACTACTGCTGAAATTACTGCTGATACTACTGCTGATACTACTGCTGAAACTACTGCTGAAACTACTGCTGATACTACTGCTGAAACTACTGCTGATACTACTGCTGATACTACTGCTGATACTACTGCTGATACTACTGCTGAAACTACTGCTGATACTACTGCTGAAACTACTGCTGAAACTACTGCTGATACTACTGCTGAAACTACTGCTGATACTACTGCTGAAACTACTGCTGAAACTACTGCTTAATCTACTGCTGAAACTACTGCTGAAACTACTGCTGAAACTACTGCTGAAACTACTGCTGAAACTACTGCTGAAACTACTGCTGAAACTACTGCTGATACTACTGCTGAAACTACTGCTGATACTACTGCTGAAACTACTGCTGAAACTACTGCTGAAACTACTGCTGATACTACTGCTGAAACTACTGCTGAAACTACTGCTGAAACTACTGCTGAAACTACTGCTGATACTACTACTACTGCTGCTGAAACTACTGCTGAAACTACTGCTGATACTACTGCTGAAACTACTGCTGAAACTACTGCTGATACTACTGCTGATACTACTGCTGAAACTACTGCTGAAACTACTGCTGAAACTACTGCTGAAACTACTGCTGATACTACTGCTGAAACTACTGCTGAAACTACTGCTGATACTACTGCTGATACTACTGCTGAAACTACTGCTGATACTACTGCTGAAACTACTGCTGAAACTACTGCTGAAACTACTGCTGAACTACTGCTGATACTACTGCTGATACTACTGCTGAAACTACTGCTGAAACTACTGCTGAAACTACTGCTGAAACTACTGCTGAAACTACTGCTGATACTACTGCTGATACTACTGCTGAAACTACTGCTGATACTACTGCTGATACTACTGCTGAAACTACTGCTGAAACTACTGCTGATACTACTGCTGAAACTACTGCTGAAACTACTGCTGATACTACTGCTGAAACTACTGCTGATACTACTGCTGATACTACTGCTGATACTACTGCTGAAACTACTGCTGATACTACTGCTGAAACTACTGCTGAAACTACTGCTGATACTACTGCTGATACTACTGCTGATACTACTGCTGAAACTACTGCTGAAACTACTGCTGAAACTACTGCTGAAACTACTGCTGAAACTACTGCTGAAACTACTGCTGAAACTACTGCTGATACTACTGCTGATACTACTGCTGATACTACTGCTGATACTACTCTGCTGATACTACTGCTGACTACTGCTGAAACTACTGCTGAACTACTGCTGAAACTACTGCTGAAACTACTGCTGAAACTACTGCTGAAACTACTGCTGAAACTACTGCTGAAACTACTGCTGAAACTACTGCTGAACTACTGCTGAAACTACTGCTGAAACTACTGCTGAAACTACTGCTGATACTACTGCTGAAACTACTGCTGAAACTACTGCTGATACTACTGCTGAAACTACTGCTGAAACTACTGCTGAAACTACTGCTGAAACTACTGCTGAAACTACTGCTGAACTACTGCTGATACTACTGCTGAAACTACTGCTGAAACTACTGCTGATACTACTGCTGATACTACTGCTGATACTACTGCTGAAACTACTGCTGATACTACTGCTGATACTACTGCTGATACTACTGCTGATACTACTGCTGATACTACTGCTGAAACTACTGCTGATACTACTGCTGAAACTACTGCTGAAACTACTGCTGAAACTACTGCTGAAACTACTGCTGAAACTACTGCTGATACTACTGCTGAAACTACTGCTGAACTACTGCTGAAACTACTGCTGAAACTACTGCTGAAACTACTGCTGAAACTACTGCTGAAACTACTGCTGATACTACTGCTGATACTACTGCTGAAACTACTGCTGATACTACTGCTGATACTACTGCTGAAACTACTGCTGATACTACTGCTGAAACTACTGCTGAAACTACTGCTGAAACTACTGCTGAAACTACTGCTGATACTACTGCTGAAACTACTGCTGAAACTACTGCTGAAACTACTGCTGAAACTACTGCTGAAACTACTGCTGATACTACTGCTGAAACTACTGCTGATACTACTGCTGATACTACTGCTGAAACTACTGCTGATACTACTGCTGATACTACTGCTGAAACTACTGCTGATACTACTGCTGAAACTACTGCTGAAACTACTGCTGAAACTACTGCTGATACTACTGCTGAAACTACTGCTGAAACTACTGCTGATACTACTGCTGAAACTACTGCTGAAACTACTGCTGAAACTACTGCTGAAACTACTGCTGATACTACTGCTGAAACTACTGCTGAACTACTGCTGAACTACTGCTGAAACTACTGCTGAAACTACTGCTGAACTACTGCTGATACTACTGCTGAAACTACTGCTGAAACTACTGCTGATACTACTGCTGAAACTACTGCTGAAACTACTGCTGAAACTACTGCTGAAACTACTGCTGAAACTACTGCTGAAACTACTGCTGAACTACTGCTGATACTACTGCTGAAACTACTGCTGAAACTACTGCTGAAACTACTGCTGAAACTACTGCTGATACTACTGCTGAAACTACTGCTGATACTACTGCTGATACTACTGCTGAAACTACTGCTGATACTACTGCTGATACTACTGCTGATACTACTGCTGAAACTACTGCTGAAACTACTGCTGAAACTACTGCTGAAACTACTGCTGAAACTACTGCTGAAACTACTGCTGAAACTACTGCTGATACTACTGCTGATACTACTGCTGATACTACTGCTGAAACTACTGCTGAAACTACTGCTGATACTACTGCTGATACTACTGCTGAAACTACTGCTGATACTACTGCTGAAACTACTGCTGAAACTACTGCTGAAACTACTGCTGATACTACTGCTGAAACTACTGCTGAAACTACTGCTGAAACTACTGCTGAAACTACTGCTGAAACTACTGCTGAAACTACTGCTGATACTACTGCTGAAACTACTGCTGAAACTACTGCTGATACTACTGCTGATACTACTGCTGAAACTACTGCTGAAACTACTGCTGATACTACTGCTGAAACTACTGCTGAAACTACTGCTGAAACTACTGCTGAAACTACTGCTGAAACTACTGCTGAAACTACTGCTGAAACTACTGCTGAAACTACTGCTGATACTACTGCTGAAACTACTGCTGATACTACTGCTGAAACTACTGCTGAAACTACTGCTGAAACTACTGCTGATACTACTGCTGAAACTACTGCTGATACTACTGCTGATACTACTGCTGATACTACTGCTGAAACTACTGCTGATACTACTGCTGATACTACTGCTGAAACTACTGCTGATACTACTGCTGAAACTACTGCTGATACTACTGCTGATACTACTGCTGATACTACTGCTGAAACTACTGCTGAAACTACTGCTGAAACTACTGCTGAAACTACTGCTGAAACTACTGCTGATACTACTGCTGAAACTACTGCTGAAACTACTGCTGATACTACTGCTGAAACTACTGCTGATACTACTGCTGATACTACTGCTGATACTACTGCTGAAACTACTGCTGAAACTACTGCTGAAACTACTGCTGAAACTACTGCTGAAACTACTGCTGAAACTACTGCTGATACTACTGCTGATACTACTGCTGAAACTACTGCTGAAACTACTGCTGAAACTACTGCTGATACTACTGCTGAAACTACTGCTGATACTACTGCTGATACTACTGCTGAAACTACTGCTGAAACTACTGCTGAAACTACTGCTGAAACTACTGCTGATACTACTGCTGAAACTACTGCTGATACTACTGCTGAAACTACTGCTGAAACTACTGCTGATACTACTGCTGAAACTACTGCTGAAACTACTGCTGATACTACTGCTGAAACTACTGCTGAAACTACTGCTGATACTACTGCTGAAACTACTGCTGAAACTACTGCTGATACTACTGCTGAAACTACTGCTGAAACTACTGCTGATACTACTGCTGAAACTACTGCTGAAACTACTGCTGAAACTACTGCTGAAACTACTGCTGAAACTACTGCTGATACTACTGCTGAAACTACTGCTGAAACTACTGCTGATACTACTGCTGATACTACTGCTGATACTACTGCTGAAACTACTGCTGATACTACTGCTGATACTACTGCTGATACTACTGCTGATACTACTGCTGATACTACTGCTGATACTACTGCTGATACTACTGCTGATACTACTGCTGAAACTACTGCTGAAACTACTGCTGAAACTACTGCTGAAACTACTGCTGAAACTACTGCTGATACTACTGCTGAAACTACTGCTGAAACTACTGCTGAAACTACTGCTGATACTACTGCTGAAACTACTGCTGAAACTACTGCTGAAACTACTGCTGATACTACTGCTGAAACTACTGCTGAAACTACTGCTGATACTACTGCTGAAACTACTGCTGATACTACTGCTGAAACTACTGCTGATACTACTGCTGAAACTACTGCTGAAACTACTGCTGATACTACTGCTGAAACTACTGCTGATACTACTGCTGAAACTACTGCTGAAACTACTGCTGATACTACTGCTGAAACTACTGCTGATACTACTGCTGATACTACTGCTGATACTACTGCTGAAACTACTGCTGATACTACTGCTGAAACTACTGCTGATACTACTGCTGATACTACTGCTGATACTACTGCTGAAACTACTGCTGAAACTACTGCTGATACTACTGCTGAAACTGACTGCTGAAACTACTGCTGAAACTACTGCTGATACTGTTGGTAGATGGTGAGAAACTAAAGAAAGAGAAAACTGCTTCTTCCTTTTCTTTGACTTGAGAAAGAGCGATGAGCTCAGTATCTGTCCATCCATCCATCTTCTTCCCCTTAATCCATGTCTGGGTCGGGGGGGTGGCAGTCAGAGTCCAGTCCACAGAGCACCAGCCCCTCAGAGCTCAGGAACTGTTTTGGGATAAAACATCTGTGTTTTATCGTTCTCTGTGATCCTGGAGACGTGATATTTTCTCTGTGAATCCAGTTTCTCTTGAAGTACTTGTACTTGTACTTGTACTTTATCTAACCTGTTTTCTCTGGTGTTTTTGTTTTTGCAGTTCAAAGGTTTAACCCGATCATCAGAGTCCTGATTATTCTACTGATGACTCTCCTGTTCATCCTGCCACTGTGCTACTACTGCTACAAGGTACTACTGCTGCTACTGCTACTGCTACTACTACTGCTACTACTGCTACAAGGTACTACTGCTACTACTGCTGCTACTGCTACTACTGCTACAAGGTACTACTGCTGCTACTACTGCTGCTACTGCTACTGCTGCTACTACTGCTACAAGGTACTACTGCTGCTACTACTGCTGCTACTGCTACTACTACTGCTACAATGTACTACTGCTGCTACTACTGCTGCTACTGCTACTACTGCTACTACTGCTACAAGGTACTACTGCTGCTACTACTACTGCTACTGCTACTACTGCTACAAGGTACTACTACTACTACTACTACTGCTACAAGGTACTACTGCTGCTACTACTACTGCTACTGCTACTACTGCTACTAGGTACTACTACTACTACTACTGCTGCTACTGCTACTACTGCTGCTACTACTGCTACAAGGTACTACTACTACTACTACTGCTGCTGCTGCTACTACTGCTGCTACAAGGTACTACTGCTGCTGCTACTACTGCTACTACTGCTGCTACAAGGTACTACTGCTGCTACTACTACTGCTACTGCTGCTACTGCTACTACTGCTGCTACAAGGTACTACTGCTACTACTGCTGCTGCTACTGCTACTGCTACTACTACTGCTACTACTGCTACAAGGTACTAATACTACTACTACTACTACTGCTGCTACTGCTACTACTGCTGCTACAAGGTACTGCTACTACTACTACTACTGCTGCTACTGCTACTACTGCTGCTACTGCTACTACTACTTTTTTTTTTTTTTCCTGTTTTGTTTTTTATATCCTAGCCCGGATCAACCCGGGGGAGAGGGCCCAGAGGGAGCGGAGCGACCCAGGGGAGAGGGCCCAGAGGGAGGGGAGCGACCCAGGGGAGAGGGCCCAGAGGGAGCGGAGCGACCCAGGAGAGAGGGCCCAGAGGGAGGGGAACGACCCAGGGGAGAGAGCCCAGAGGGAGGGGAGCGACCCGGGGGAGAGGGCCCAGAGGGAGGGGAGCGACCAGGTGGATACCTGGTGGATACCAGGTGGATACCAGGTGGATACCAGGTCGATTAATGAAATATTTTGTGTTTTTGCATCTTCTTCGATTTGTTTTATCCATTGTTTCATTTTGTTTGCCACACACATGTACAGGACAGACTTCTGCAGTACACCAGACACACACATGTACAGGACAGACTTCTGCAGTACACCAGACACACACATGTACAGGACAGACTTCTGCAGTACACCAGACACACACATGTACAGGACAGACTTCTGCAGTACACCAGACACACACATGTACAGGACAGACTTCTGCAGTACACCAGACACACACATGTACAGGACAGACTTCTGCAGTACACCAGACACACACATGTACAGGACAGACTTCTGCAGTACACCAGACACACACATGTACAGGACAGACTTCTGCAGTACACCAGACACACACATGTACAGGACAGACTTCTGCAGTACACCAGACACACACATGTACAGGACAGACCTGCCCTGAGAAGGGACGCTTCAAGTTACTACTGCTACTGCAACAACTTCTGCTTATACAAGGTGCTGCTACTACTGCTACTGCTTCTGCTACAGCGACTGGTTCAGACCTGGTTCAGACCTGGTTCAGACCTGGTTTAGACCTGGTTCAGACCTGCTTCAGACCTGCTTCAGACCTGCTTCAGACCTGGTTCAGACCTGGTTCAGACCTGGTTCAGACCTGGTTCAGACCTGGTTCAGACCTGCTTCAGACCTGCTTCAGACCTGGCTTAGACCTGGTTCAGACCTGGTTCAGACCTGGTTCAGACCTGGTTCAGACCAGTGGATGTCTTGTTGTTTCAGGTTAAGTCCAGAAGAGGCGCTAGTGAGACACATGAGACCATGATCCTGATGAATGAGGTCATCACAGAAGAGGAGAGAGGAGGAGACGGACCAGGAGAGGAGAGAGGAGGAGATGGACCAGGAGGAGAGGAGAGAGGAGGAGACGGACCAGGAGAGGAGAGAGGAGGAGACGGACCAGGAGAGGAGGAGAGAGGAGGAGACGGACCAGGAGAGGAGAGAGGAGGAGACGGACCAGGAGGAGAGGAGGAGAGAGGAGGAGACGGACCAGAAGAGGAGAGAGGAGGAGACGGACCAGGAGAGGAGAGAGGAGGAGACGGACCAGAAGAGGAGAGAGGAGGAGACGGACCAGAAGAGGAGAGAGGAGGAGACGGACCAGGAGAGGAGAGAGGAGGAGACGGACCAGGAGAGGAGAGAGGAGGAGACGGACCAGGAGAGGAGAGAGGAGGAGACGGACCAGGAGAGGAGAGAGGAGGAGACGGACCAGGAGAGGAGAGAGGAGGAGACGGACCAGAAGAGGAGAGAGGAGGAGACGGACCAGAAGAGGAGAGAGGAGGAGACGGACCAGAAGAGGAGAGAGGAGGAGACGGACCAGGAGAGGAGAGAGGAGGAGACGGACCAGAAGAGGAGAGAGGAGGAGACGGACCAGACGAGGAGAGAGGAGGGCCACATACTCGGACTGATCTACACAGGCCCTTGCGCAGTCGAGGCTTTATGAAGCTGTCCCCTGTGTAGTCTAGGAGCAGTTTAGAGCAGTACAGAGGACTGATGTAGAGCAACACAAATCACAATGCATGTGTTTTTGTCTTCATGGTCCCTGTGCGCTGGTCTGACCAACACGGGACCTTTATGAATGAAAAAAAACAAAGTCCAGAACACTGTAAAACCTGCTGCTTCCTCCGTGTGTGAATTTTCCTATGTGTTTTGACTTGGGAGACCTCGATGCACGAGCACAAAAATTAGAAATATCTCCATCATAAATTAGGCGCAGCCTCGCGTCAAATCACATATAAACCACTAGTAGAAGTGTAAATAGTATGTATGTTAACAGTTAACATGGGCACCAAAGATTTTCCTTTCAGACAAAAACAGATGTATCCGAGTCACCAGGCCACAAAGTAAAGATGTTCAAATCCACAATAAGTGTTTTGGTCTGTAAAGCTCAGCAGCTGCAGCACAGGGTAAAGACTGAAGTGTATCCTGTAGCAAGCAGGGGTGCTCACTACACGAATCGCATCTATCCAGTCGATTCGCAAAGGAATAATTGTACTCCATTTAGCTTTTGCGTGTAGACGAAGATTAACCGGAGTTTTTTTGCGTGACCGCTAGCTGATAGCGTTCACTGCAACGACATCCTCGGCTCCACATCCAGATCAGCAAAGTGAACAGGCAGGACGAAACCAGGAGTAAAACCGTAAGAGACGGGGTCAGTGCTTGTAAACAACGGTCTTCACCCCGAGTTTCTCAACATGAATTGTAAGTGCCCAGGCAGCAGCACAAGCACTGGTGTCTGCATCTAGCTCCGCCCACTTCTGTGGTTTTCTCCAACGCAGGAAGTCAGAGACCCACATGTTTGAAATGTGAAGAAAACGCAGATAAATTTGCATCCACATTAATGAAAGAATTAGGATGCAAATTCTATCATCAAATCATGCGGTTTTGCATGTACAATCAAGATACATAGTAACAAAAGAATCCTCAATATATTTAGAAATAAAAATATTTCTGCAATTTTGTAGTAGGTAGATCATTTTGACTTGATCATTTATAAATAGATTGCATGCGAAAAAGTGTGAGCACACCCCTGTTTTTTTTTCAGTAGAGTCTTGACTGTGGGTTCACATGATGCAGCCCCATCAGCTCTGTCTCCTTCACTTCACTTCACTTCCTTCACTTTGTTCCCTGATGCTGCCGTCTTCCTCACCCTGATTCACTACAGGTTTTATTGTGTTTTATGAAGTGGATGAGCTTTGTGTCTAATACTTTCCACACTTCACAAGACAAATGGTTTCTCTCCAGTGTGTCCTCTGATGCACTTTGAGAGAAACCACTGTGAGAAAAAACACCGATCACAATACGTCACAGCTGAACGGTTTTTTCTCCAGTGTGATCTGCTGTGGCTCTTGAGATCACCTTTTGCCAGTAAAACATGTTCCACACTGATCACGACTCGTATGGTTTTTTCTCCAGTGTGGGATTCTGCTGTGGACCTTAAGCTGTCCTTTAGTAGTAAAACCTGTTCCACACGTGATCACACACCGTAAGGTTTTTCTTCTCCATGTGAATTCTCTCGTGACTTAGTTAGGCCAAACGGAGTAAACTCCTTCATCAGTCTCCACAGACAAAGGTTTTTTCTCCAGTAGTGGATTCTGTAGTGCACAGTGGAGAGACAGAATAATTGTGTAAAAGTCTTTTCACACTGGTCACATTGGTGAGGTCTCTCACCTGTGTGGACACAGCTTATGCTGGAGAACAGCTGTTTGTCCTAAATGTTTTTCACACTGTCACAGTGAAATGTTTCTCTCCTGTGGTGGATCCTCTGATGATCTTTGAGATTAACCTCTCTGCCGTAAAACCTATCACAAACGGGCTCACAGCTGAACGGTTTTTCTCCAGTGTGGATTCTGCTGTGGAGCTCCGAGATGTCCTTTTGTAGTAAAACCTGTCCACCGAACACCACTCTGTATGGTTTTTCTCCCAGTGTGGATTCTGCTGTGGCCTCTTGAGATGTTCTTTTCTAGAAAAACATGTACCACCACTGATCATGCCACACTTATGCGGCTCTATCCAGTGTGGCTCCGATGTGTGAACTGAGCATCTGATGCAGTCTAAAAGTATATACTTGCATAAGTCACAGTTCAAAGGTTTTTTCTCCATTGTGAATTCTCTCAATGACATTATTTGATCGTGAAATCAACAGCAAACGTCTTCCCGCAGTCTCCACAGACAATGGTTATTCTCCATGTGGAATCTGTAGTGGCACAGTGAGGAGAGAATAATTGAGTAAAAGACAGTTCACACTGGTCACAATGGTGAGGTCTCGCTCCTGTGTGGAATGCTGAGTAGTTGAGAGCTACCCATTTGATCCTAAATGTTTTTCCACACAGGTCCTCACAGACAAATGGTTTCTCTCCTGTGTGATCCTCTGATGATCCTTTGAGTATAAACCTCATCGCGTAAACACTCTTATCACAAACCTGTCATCAGCTGACCGTTTTCTCCGTGTGGATTATGCAGTGGGCTCTAGAGATCTCCTTTTGCAGTAAAAACATGTTCCAGCAGCTGATCACACTCGTATGGTTTTTTCTCCAGTGAGGATTCTGCTGTGGACCTTGAGCTGTCCTTTTGTAGTAAAACCTGTTCCACACTGAACACACTCGTATGGTTTTTTTCTCCTGTGTGGATCCTGCCTCTGAATGATCTTTGAGGATAACCTCTCGCGTAAAACTCTTTATCACAAACGCACAGCTGAACGGTTTTTCTCCCAGTGTGGATAACTTGCTGTGGCGCTCGAGATGTCCTTTTGTAGTAAAAACCTGTTCCACACAGATCACACTTGTATGGTTTTTCTCCAGTGTGAGTTCTGTATTTTCTTTAGTGCAAAAGCAGAGTTGTAAGGTCAATCCCACATACGATCACAGTGAACCTACATTCTGTAGATCTGCCATAGACATACACAACAAAGACACGTAATGAATATATATTAATACAAACGTTTCTTTAAGCAGAAACTACAACCCACCTGTATATTTGTCTACAGTGACGAGTATTTGGAAAAAAAAAAAAATGCAGCTTTCAATTACAATCCCCCAATTTTGAAAAAGAATTATCAAAAAAACCTAAATTAAAGTTGTCTAAACATTAATAGATAAAAAAAATATATAATGTATAGGTTTCCTTTCACAAAATTTACATAATTACATGACATTAACCATCCCTTTAATCATCCATCTTCTGGGTCAAAGAAGGGGAATCAGAGCTGCCCTGCCCCCCCACTTTCAAAAAATAAGAAGATAAAGAATAAGAACACGTGAGCCCACACAGATCAGGAGAACAACCTGCTTCAGGGCCTGACTCAAGGATGGGACCGAGAAAGGAAGTGAATAGAGGGAGGGGTGTAGGGAGAACCGAGGGAAAGAGGTGGAGAAGTGGAGCTCAGAGAGGAAGGAAGTATAGAGGAGGAAGGAGAGGGAGTGTGTCATGACAGACCACAAACGTTTTCCTGGAGCCAAGCAGAGAGCACAGAGCAAAGCACCAGAACAGCAGAGAACAGAGCAAGAGCACAGAGCAAGAGCATAGAGCACGAGAGCACAGAGCAGAGTAGCAGAGAGCACAGAGCAGAGAGCACAGAGCACAGAGCAAGAGAGCACAGAGCTGAGTCATGCTGTTCTAAGATAGCGTCCTCAGACTCGTGAAACCTTGTTTTTTTAACAATGTCTCCTGGGAACTCAGGAAGTCCTAAGTCGTCTGAAACAGTTGTTTTTGTGTCTTACTATTTTTATTTCTCTTGCTTTTTTTGATTCTTCTCCAAAATCCACTGGAGGAATGCTATCTATATTGGAAAATGCTAATGAGGCATTAGGCATTTTACTTTGGACTATGGCAGAGTAAAATGGTCCGACACCAAGTGCAGCTCACCTTGTGACCTCTTGCTTTTTTTGATTCCTTGATTTTTCTCCAAAATCCACTGGAGGAATGCTAACTTTTTGGAAAATGCTAATGAGGCATTTATCATTTTACTTTGGACTAGGGCAGAGTAAATGGTCCGAACCAAGTGGCTGCTCCACCTTGTTATTATAAATGTCACTGTTGCAAAACTGTAAATATACCACAGAATAAACTGAGCTGTGCAACCACATCATTTAAGTTCATTTAGAATGAGAAATAGAGAGTGGGAGTTTAACAGTCTTAACTTCTTCTCACTCCTTTTGAGCTGGATCGTTGTTAATAAAACAAAACTGTATATTTGTACTTTTTCTATTCTGTTGTTGTCCTTTTTTCTTGTTTACCGTGGCTCGAAATAAAGTATTCATTCATTCGTACTGAATGTGTGAAAATGTAGGCCCACTTGCACAGTATTAACACAATAATAGTTATATTTACTTGCTTTTATTAATTACCAGGCTGGTCATTTTTTCTTTCAACTTTTACCATTTCTATCTACTTTTGTGTAACAAGGGTAAAATGGATCAGCTGTGAGCACTGACCAGCCAATAAGAAGCTGGTCACATGATTGACATTTAAATATACCACAAACATGATTCCTGCACGACTCAATCTGCAGCGTTTCACTGATTCACTGTAATCCAGAGTATAGAATATTTCTCCTGCCTCTACATCCAGAGTATAGAATATTTCTCCTGCCTCTACATCCAGAGTATAGAATATTTCTCCTGCCTCTACATCCAGAGTATAGAATATTTCTCCTGCCTCTACCATCCACCATTTTGTCTCTTAGGGAACTTTTAAGTCTCTAAAAGTCCTCCTCTCAACTCTTCAGAGATCTCACCTTAGGAACTCTCTTAAGAGCTGGGATTCTTTAGGAATAGCTTTTATCTTAACTGGGATCTGCTCCTCACTTTTAGGGGAAATTCTAAGAGTTGGTCAAGATTCTATGAAAATCCTTAGAATTTGGCCACTAGGAGCAACTTGTATCACTAAGAATCTTTAGGAATACGGCCCCTGGTTTTTATTTAGTGAAACTGAATGTTGTGTTGA